CGCGAGTAGTAAATCCGCTGTCCCTCCGAATCCACGCAGATGCAAGAAATTCAAGGTGCCCTCGGCGCAGTGAGGTTTCTTCGGTATCGGGGCTTTCTAAGAATTCGCGATTGGCCCTCCGGCTCCGCGCGGATGCATTCTAGCAATTTCGGTGTTGGCTCTCCGAATCCGCGCGGATGCAAGAAATTCAAGATACCTTCGGCGCAACGGGGTTCTTCGGTGGCGGGGCTCTTTAGCGATTTCGCTGTTGGCCCTCCGATCCCGCGCGGACGCAAGAAATTCAAGGTACCTTCAGCGCAGCGAGGTTTCTTCGGTGGCGGAGCGTTACTTACGCGAGGTGGAATGCGGAGGAAACCCAAGGTCTCCTGAACGCGAGATTTTCTAGACGCCCGCGGGAAACCATCGCGGGCCGCGCGGAGCGAAGAAACCCAAGATGCCCTGACGAAAAACAATCGGTTTCTTGGTACGCGCCCCCGCTGTAGTCGAGACCCGCCCCCTCTCACTGGCTCTGCCCAAGCTCGCCGCCGATGTAAACAAGGCTCGGGTGCCTGGTCCTGGGCACCGAGCGCTCCCCTCGGCGCCGCCCGGCACCACCAAAGCGGCCCGCCGCGGGAGCGGAGGCGGCCCTGCGACGGGAAGCGGGTCAGAGCCCGCTGCCCGAAGGCCTCGGGAGGGGGCCCAGGGGCCCAAGTGCGCGCCGAGCAAACACGGGTCTTACGCGAGCGGCCTTACGCGGTGGTTTACGCAGCCAGCTGGCGCGGCACGCTACGCTGGAAGCGAGGGTGCCTACGCGCGACCTTACGCGGGCAGCTTACGAGCGAATGTCGGTGAAGACGACCCCGAGTCCTGGCGCCCTTGGGGGATGCGGACTAGCTGTGCTCCCACGACACCAAGCGCGCTCCGTCCGTCGCAGCTATCCGCCACCGTGCCTCTGGGCACGGAGTGGGCATGTCCTCGAGTCCCTTGCCTAATCCCTGGAGCCTCAGTCCTCGGTCCTGAGGAGTCTCTAAGGCGTCCAAACCTCAAATTCACAAATCTCCTGGGGCTTGGCACCCTTCCTTTAGGCTTTGGCGCATCTTGTCCCGTGATGTTTCGGTCCAAGAGGGCCCCGAGACGTGCCCATAGGGTCCCAAGAGGCCTCCAAGACGGCCCAAGACGGCAACGAGTTGCGCAGAGATCAGCCAAAGACGGCCAAGATGGCCCCCAAATGATCCCAGAGGCCCCCCAGACACCCCAAGAGACCTCCAAGAGGCTTCTCAAGAGAGCCCCAAGAGGCAAACAGTAGGGGCATCCAAGACCGCCCCAAGACAGCCCAAGAGGCCCCCAAGAGGGCCTCAAGACGGCCCAAGAGCGCTCCAAGACGGCCCAAGAGCCGTCCAAGACGGCCCAAGAGGGCCCCAAGACGGCCCAACCCAAGAGGGCCCCAAGAGCCCAAGAGAGGAAACGCGAACCGAAATTCGGAGCCTTCCGCTCCACGAGGCCCCCAGGAGGCCCCAAGAGGCCTCCAAGAGCCCGAGAAGTGCTCAAGAGGCCTTAAGAGGGCCTCAAGAGGCCCAAGAGAGGCCCCCAAACGGCACCCAATAGGCCTCCAAACTGCCTCCCAGAGGCCCATCAGAGGCCTCCCACGAGATCCCAGCGAACATCCAATAGGCTTCATACCCACAACCCAGGCACGGTGGCGGATGGGCCGAAGGCCATTAGCTAATACTCGGAGGATCGCACTTTTTCACGCCGTCCGCCACAGCGACCCGAGAAACGCGGACACAGCTTAGCGCACACGTCGCGCACGACGCGAACACGAACCACGACTTCCTGGGGGGGGCGACTTCAAAGAAGCTTCCACGCCCCCAACATCCAATGATAGAACCACAGCCCCCGCAGAGGTTAGGCACGATGAAATGCCGAACCTGCCTGGTCGCGTGGCAATCGGACAACCGATTTCGCCCTGGAGCGGCACACTGCCCGTAATGAATCCCCACATCCGCCCCGTTTTCCATGCTGGCCCTGTCACTGGACTCTCATGTACTCGCAGGTTGTGCGGGACAGCGCGTGCTGCCGAAGGGGCCCAGGCGGGCCGTGGGCAACGCAGCCCCCCCGGACGTCCGCCGATCCGATCTTGCCACAACTCGGCCCCACACGCCCCGACCCCTTCCCCGGGGGTTTGGCTCTCCTCCCGGACCCGTTCTGGATCGCCTCGGGGCCCGACGACGGGCACCCGCGGCGGCCGACATCACGCCCGGGACCAGAGCCGACGAAACGCACGCCCAGGACGCCCCCGGGTTGCCTCGAGAAGCCCCCGACACGCCCCAAGAAGCTCCCAAGGGGAGCCCGAACCGAGCCCCCAAACGCCCCCAGGAACCTCCCAGGAACCGGACAGGCCTCGTGGAAGGCAGTCCTGGACGCGCAGTAGTTCATGGAGGGGTCGGCGGCTGCGGCGCAAGCCCATCGAATCCTCTTCTCGGAGAGCTGGGCATCCGGGCCTGCACGCGCCGCTCTTGGCGGCTCGCGCAGAGGGGGTAGGGGGGAGGGGGGCAAAGCCTCTCAGAAGGAGGCTGCTTCGTACGTAGAAGGCGCCGGCCCTACATCTACAGACAAGGTCCGTCGCCTTCTACGAAGCAGCGGTATTTCTCAGAAACCTCCCCCCCTCCCCCCTACCCCCTCTGCGCGTGGCCGATCATCGCTGACGCATCGAATATGCATCGGCGATACGTCGTCGACGTTCGCGATGAATCGGCGACGTCGACGTGGAGAAAATCGGGCTCCGAATCGACCTGCGTCGCCGATGCATCGGCGATGCGGAGCCTCGGCCCCCATCTGGAATGCCTACGGAGAGAGGGAGGGGGCTCCTGTTGTGTATCTTGATCACGATGGGCTCCCCGGCGCGCGGCTTGTACTCGCTGTCCTTCGGGCAAGGAAAACCTGCATGAACGTAGCCTTTCGACGGTTCGCACGGAGTTCTTGGATCTGCGCTGGAGCCCCGTGGCGGCGCCTCTGGCGAGGGCCTCTGGTGCCGCCGCTGACACGCTCTGCGCGCCAGGGAGGGGGCCCAGCGCAGATCCAAGGAATCCGCGCGGACCATCGAACGTTTTTGCTGATCAAGCTTTTTCTGCTTCTAGTCCTCCGCGGAGGGCGCGGCCAACCACGAACGGAACAAAAAAACTCGCTTGGGCTAACATACGTCCTGAAGATCATCAAATTTGTGGTTCCCGGAACAATGCGGTGACATTGGAAATTCGCAGCGAAGACCTCACCGCACGGTGGGGGCCCCCGGAAAACCCAGGCCTCCTAAGTGTGAGCGGGCTGTTCGGCCATGTATTCGACGAGGCCTCCGGGCGAACACGTCCACCCCTTTTGCCCAAGCCCTGGAAACCTCGCCTCCCACCTGGGACATGCTGTCTACCTTGGTATACTTTTATTGGCTGCCCGGGGATACCCAAAAATGGCCAAAAAACAACCAACCATGTCGAGCATCGACGACCCCCCGGCAGCGGAGCAAAAGGCAGGTCGGGGCGCCAGGCCAATGCCCTGGAGGGCGGGCGGGGAGCCTGCTCGACCAGGCACCACCGCACGGATGGAGGGAAGAGGAGGAGGGAGGAGGGCGCAGGAGTGAGAAGAAGGAGGAGGAGGAGGAGGAGGAGGACCAGGAGCAGGAGCAGGAACAGGGGGAGGAGGAGGAGGAGGAGGAGGAGGAGGAGGATGAGGAGGAGGAATAGGAGGAGGAGGAGGAGGAGAAGGAGGAGGAGGAGGAGGAGCAGGAGGAGGAGGAGGAGGAGCAGGACGAGGAGAAGAGGAGGAGGAGGAGGAGGAGAGGAGAGAGAGGAGGGAGAGAGGGAGGAGGCTGAGGAGGACGAGGGAGAAGGGAGAAGGAGGAGCGAGGGTGAGGGTCGAGGATCAAGGACCGAGGACTGGCAGCGGGACGCTGGAGGCAACGTGAGGGGGGGGGAGGCACGGGGCGTACCTGCGCGCGCACTCGCGCCCGCGCCTTGGCGCCAAGGGGGCAACTCTCGGGGCCTTGGCGCCGAGGTGGCCACGGATCACGCAGCTTTTACCCACCACATTCACACACACGCATGCGAGCGCGCCTGCAGCAATTCGTGCGGCAAGGTGTTCGCGACCTTGCGGTGTACTTCTGGTGCGGCAGCGGTGCTCCGCGCTTGTGTGGGGCAGGCCGGGGGAGCTCCCTATGGGGCCACGAAGCGTGTGAGGGGTGTGCCGTAATGGCCCGAGGCCGCCATGCGAGTTCCACCACTGGGACCTTCGGTGGAGCTCCCTATGGGGCCACGAAACGAGTGAGGGGTGTGCCGAAATGGCCCGAGGCGTGTGAGGGGTGTGCCGAGATGGCCCGAAGCTGGCATGCGAGTTCCGCCACTGGGACCTTCGGTGGAGCTCCCTATGGGGCCACGAAGCGTGTGAGGGGTGTGCCGAAATGGCCCGAAGCTGCCATGCGAGTTCCGCCACTGGGACCGTAGTTGGAGCTCCCTATCGGGCCACGAAACGTGTGAGGGGTGTGCCGAGATGGCCCGAGGCCGCCATGCGAGTTCCGCCACTGGGACCTTCGGTGGAGCTCCCTATGGGGCCACGAAACGAGTGAGGGGTGTGCCGTAATGGCCCGAGGCCGCCATGACAGTTCCACCACTGGGACCTTCGGTGGAGCTCCCTATGGGGCCACGAAGCGTGTGAGGGGTGTGCCGAAATGGCCCGAAGCTGCCATGCGAGTTCCGCCACTGGGACCTTAGCCACGAAACGAGTGAGGGGTGTGCCGAGATGGCCCGAGGCCGCCCTGCGAGTTCCGCCACTGGGACCGTAGTTGGAGCCCTATGGGGCCACGAAACGTGTGAGGGGTGTGCCGACAGAGAGACATGCGGAGGGCAGAGGCAAGGAGGGGGACGAGGGAGGAGGAGAGGAGGAACGCGGGGCGCCGTCTCTTCAAACCGAGGACCCAACACCAGACGATGGTTGGGAACAAAACATCGTCACCAGACTATTCTTTATACCTCCTGTAGAGGGACACGCCCGAGTGAAGGATAGGGAAGGAGGAGGGTTAGCGAATCAACTCACGTATAGCTGATTTCCCTGGCGCCTCCCGGCACCGGCGGGGCGCCTCCCAGCGCCGGGCGGAGAGGGCCCGAAACCAGCTGCACGCGGCAGATCTCGTAAGAGGTCGAAGCATGGAATGCTGTTTAAGACGAAGCCAGGGCGAGGATAACATCGGGTGAGGACAAATCGAGAACCTCTGAGATCTGGCGGCTTTGGAGGATGTCTCAGGCGCCGCGGCCTTCTCAGAGCGTTCCGGAAAGCTCTGAGAGCGTTCCGGAGCGCTCTGGAACGGATTTATCCTTGTCTTAGCCCCGTCCGACTGTTGCTTGTGATCTGTTGGCCCCAGGCACACAGGGTCCTCTGGAGGCCTCCGATGGAAGGAGGGCGGGATGACGAGGGGAGAACAGAAATCCTGGATCCTCGAATGACGTGGCATCCGCGCGTAAAAGCCATGCCACGAAGAGGAGGTCATCGAAGCCAACTGGGACAACACTTACACTGGCAGAAGTGCCCTAAACCGCTCGTGCAATTAAGTGGGCCTGTGTGCCCAATAGCTCGAACTTGTACCAGGTGCCCCAAAGCGGGGGCCAGGAATGGGGGGGGTTGGCGCGTCATGGCCGGATGCACGTGCGCGTTCTGAACGAAAAAGAATGGGCCATCAAATCTGGAAGATATGGCCCCTGGCCATGATGTCCACACACCCCTGGTCCTCATCCCACTCTTGGACGCCCCCGATAAACAGAAAGCCATCCCACCCGGTCCTCTAGGTGCAACATCAGCTCCATCGAGTCGTCTGAGCCATCGACCAACGCCGGAGAAGTACTGCACCACGTGGCCTGAGTGGCTGGTGGGCGACGAAACGAACCACCAATGCACCCTCCCAGAGCCAGAAACATTCGCACAATATCGCATGCAATCATTACGCAACCTGTGCCCCCTGAACGTTAAATCTCACCCCCAAGATCCTGAGAGAGCGAGGTGGTCCTGCACGCGGGCCGGGGCGCTTCGGCTCTTCTCGCCGAGCTGAGAGACATGCTGAATCTCCCAACCGAACCGAGGCCTGGCGCCCAGGAGGGGCACGGGAGGGCCCCAGGGGCCGCAGGAGAGCCTCGGAGGGCCCTGTGCGATGCGACATCGACCACCGTACCTCTCCGGGGGTTCGTTCTGGGCACAGCCCCCCGAGGGGAACCTGGCCGCGTCGACGAGGGGACCTCGCGGGAGGCCCCAGGAGCGGCGAGGAGCATGCAGAAGCCTCGCTCCTTGAACCTCGACGCCGTGGGGGAAAGGACCCGTGCTACCAGCGCTGACTGCACTGTTTGCGGCGAGGTTGTGGGACTTGACGTGGGCGGCCTTCTAAAGAACGGGCATGCTTAGAAGCGAGTGGCACCCTCTCTGGGGCTTCTGGTACAGTTTTCTGGAACCCAGGATGACTTCTAGGCGCCTTCAACGCGCGCGCGCAAGGCGATGCGCGCGGCCGGGGCGAGGCCGAGCGGGGAGCCCCGAGCGGGGAGCCCCGGGGGAACACCTCGCCTCGACGATCTCTCGCGAGGGCCGTTGAAGCCGACGAGCCCTCCATGATCGGGTGCAGGCTGACATGGGAAAGGAATCCGTGGATCTGGCGTGTGGGCGCCAGGGCAACGGATCGGGGAAAGCATTTCGCCCACGCATGAAGGCAGCGCCGCCCCATTTGGCGACGGAGCGCGCCGAATCCGCATGGAAGCGGGACCCGGCGCTGCTCCGCGCGCCTCCACCCATGCTTGCGCTTCCTCGACACGAGAGTGACAGCTCTCCAGGCTATGGCTGTTTTGCAGTGGGCCCGAGGGAGCGTCCGATGAGGCCCCCCCCCCCCGCGAGCGCGCGCACGCGCGCGTACGCGCTTGCGCCGGGGCCGGCCGCGGCGCCACGAAAGGTGCCCCTTCGCTTCGGGGACCCCTCCTCTTCCCCCCCGTCCTCGACGTCCTCCCCATCCCCCCCCCCCCCTCCTTCCCCTTCTCCTGCCCCTCCTGCTCCCCCTCGTCCTCGTCCTCGTCCTCGTCCTCGTCCTCGTCCTCGTCCTTGTCCTTGTCGTCCTCCTCCTCTTCCCCCGCACCCGTCCGCCTTCTCCTCCTCCCCCTCCTCCTCCCCCTCCTCCTCCTCCTCCTCCTCCTCCTTGTCCTCCTCCTCCTTCTCCTCCACGGACCGAGGGGAGGGGGGGGAGCGTCGCCGGCGGTTGGGGCGTCCCCAGGCCCAATGCCCCAGCATGGCTTCAGATAGCCTCAGATTGCCTCACATACAGTGCAGGCTGATCCAGACGGCCCCACGCGTGGCTCCGAGAAGCCTGACAAAGGCTCCAATATGTCTCTTAGGCTCCAAGCGGCTCTGAGGTGGCCCCAAGCTTCGTGTTTGTTTGTTTGGCTTACGAGGGCCACCAGAGGGCCACACACATGCCTCAAGGGAGCCTCCGAAGCCTTCTTCAGAGCCCCAACTAAGCCCGCGAATGCAATTTTTTCGGCTCCAGACGGGGAACGCCCATTGCCATCTTCGGACGGTCACTTCCATGATGGCCCCAAAAATATCGAGACATCTCCCAACCAGGCTCCACAAGGGCCCCCAACTTAGTGGCAACATGAGTCCACGAGGCATCCGAGAGGCGTCAAAAAGATCACTACCTGGTATTATGTGCGGCTGATGTGCCTGATACGCCTTTGGTGTGACCGGTACCGCCCGCTGTTTGCTGCGAATCCCTTATATATATATATATATAAGTATATATATACATATATATATATATATATATATATCGCTTCCCCTGGCCATGCAACTCGCCAGGTAATCGTTTCCGGATGGGCTGGTGCGGGCACGCGAGGCGCCAAGGATTCGACCCGAGAGCATGGCGGCACTGCAGCGAGACATCACACGCGAAGGAAGCAAAGATGCAGCCCGGCAACAAAAAAGCGCTGGCCTGGCCGCCGCAGGTCTCGCACCCGTTCCTGCCGCTCAGGAACAGCATGTAATCAAACTGCTACCAAAAGAACGCTGGACAAATGAAGACGCCCTCGCTTCGCCCCAAGTGCGCCCGGGTGCACGAGGAGCGCTAGAGAAACAACCAAAGAAATGGCCCAAGAAACAACGAGCCCTCTCTTGATCCATACTGCTCCGCATTTCGGCGTGGGCATTCGCCCGATCGTGCTGCGAGCTGGCAAACCAGCCGCTGTGCCTTCGTTCGAGCTGCGGCCTGCCCCTGCCGCTGAAGGCCACAGCGATCCCCCAATGAGACGACTAGCGCCCGAACGACACAGAAGACGTGAGGTCATCGAAACACACACGCGAGCCTGGAGAAGTGGCGCGTCACCGAGACAATATCAATTAGTGGTGACTCCAGGGACTGAGGGCGACTTACGGAGATCGCATGCCCTCACTCCCTCGGTGCACCACGATGGACTTCCACTGTATACTTTTATACCTACATGTACACACAACCCACATATCCGTATATACACATATACATGTATATAAAACAAGACTGCACTGGCGTTTCGCGCCATGCACCTTAGTCCTTCAAGTTTGGCACGCACGCGGGATATGTGAGAAGTCGTAAAGAAAAAACAATTGGTAACTCGTTGTTGCCGTCTTCGGCCTACCCTGCGAACCCTTCCTCTTGATCGTTCTCGCCCTATCCTGCGAACCCTTCCCCGTACTCCTCACCTCTTTTGGGAGGCTCATCGCAGGAGAGCTTCTTGAGGGCCTCCCGAAATCTTCTCAGGGGCTTCTTGGGGATTTCTGAAGCCTCCTGTGAGTCCTTTGGGGGCCTCTGGGGGCTTCCTCGGGCCACCTTGCTGTGACCCACGGCCTCCCTCAACGACTGGGTCATGATTTGGAGGTTTTCGGGGAGAGTCTTGAAGCCATCGTTGGCCGTCATGGCGGTCTCGTCGGGCCATGTTGGGGTTTTGTGGGGCCCTCAAGCCCTGTGTGAACGATTGGACAATGTTGGGACGATGTTCGGAGCCTCTGAGGCGGTCTCGGACGCGGCACATGTCGAGAGGCACTACTAATCCGGGCCGACTGTACAACAACCTGTGGACATCATTATCTTGAGGCGGTTCGATTTCCTGTTGGGGGTGTTCTGTGGGCCAACTTCGGGCGTCTGGTGAGCCTGGGGCCGCTAGGGGCTTTCGCGGGGCCGCTTGGCCGCCCTCTTGACCGCTCTGGGCGCGTCGGCAGAGCCCCCGCAGGAACGCTCCAGCAGGTCCTTTAAGCCAGGCGAGCCCCAGGCAAGGGATCTGAGAGGTCCGAATTTCCCACATCCAAAACTGTATCCCTGTTTTCTCTAGGCGCTCCCAATGTTCCTGTTCCTCACATCCGAAACGGGGATCTCGTAGTCTACCTAGACCCCCCGCGCAGGAAAGCCCTCTCTTCTTCCCTTCCTTTCGCCCCCATCATCACCATCACATCAAGATCATCGACACTCATCATCACCACGCCATGTGTTCACCCGCACCGTCACAAGCATGAGCATCAAACCAGCATCGTCACTACCACCATCTCTTTATGATCATCGATCAGCGTAGTCATCGATCATGGTTTCGGGACTCGGAGGCTTGACCTGTGACTCTCTCGTCTCTTTTGGGATTTTTCGGAACTTCACCGCGTCTCAGGCGGGTGCCTTCTCCATGAGTGGATTGCGAGGACGTTTCAGGCGGGAGCCCCGTCCCGCTGGGGCCTGCACCTCATGTGTTTGATCCGACGGGGTCATTCGAGACCTGTACCTGTCGCAATGTGTGCACTCCTGAAGATCGCATATGGAGGAAGTCTTGAGCGGGAGCTCGGTTTCTGAGTGATGTGTGAGAAATTGTCGAAAAGGACCCCCCTCCCTATGGGGTCAGGGCCTCACGTGATTTATAACGGGAAGGGATGGATAGGAGGTGCAGAGGACTCTCAGATGAACTGAAGAGATGCTCGTGTGGGATCATGCCGCGTGAGTAGTTTTAGCCAGACACCCTCGCGCAGGATAGTCATCTCATCCACCCTCCTCCACTGTTCTTCACACTCATTCACTCACACACTCATATGCCGCCTCCTCCTGCTCGCCATCACCACCATCATCATCAGCGTCATCAGCAACAACAGTAGCATCGTCATCACTCATTTACATATGGACCGACTTACCCATTACCAGTATCAGCACCACCACCACCATCATCATCACTACCACCAGCATCGTCATCATCATCACCACCATCAGCGTCATCATCAGCATTATCATGATTACCATCATCCGCATCATCGTAATGGCCGACATCCTCCTCATCACCAACAGTCTTATCAGCATCATCGTCAGCAGCATCACTAGTGACCGTGAGAGCCCGCGGGGCCATGGGGACATCTTTCTCAGGAGGAACTGAAGCAACCGGGAACCGACTCTCACAGGCACGGTCCGGTGGATGTCGCAGGGGTCCGAAAGTCCACCACCGTGGGAGAGAAAATGAAAAAAGGCAAGAGGCGAAAGCGGGTGGGTAACCATAGCGCCAAAGGGCGGGAGCTTGATCCACAACGTTGTGCGGCCCCGCTTTCCCCACTCCCACTTACTGCGCTCCATCCAACCAATGACCGTGAGAGCCCGCGGGGCCATGGGGACATCTTTTTCTCAGGAGGAGGTGAGGCAACCAGGGGCCGACACTCACAGGTCCGGTGGATGTCGCAGAGGCCCGAACCTCCAACATCGGCTCCCGACTGGTCAACTGGCTTCCAGCCGCACTCTATACAATTTGCTCAACGTTGACGTCCTATTTTTTTGCATCGCGTTGATAAGGTGCTGACCCAAGGCATCACAAAACATTTGTGGGCAGGCGGCTGCCATAGCTGTCC